ACTCGCTTTGGAGACCAGGCTGGCCTCGAACTCACAGAGATCCGCCTGCCTCTGCCTCCCGAGTGCTGGGATTAAAGGCGTGCGCCACCACCGCCCGGCCCACTGCTGTGCTTTGTGTGTGGGATTTATTGGTGCCCATGGGTGTTTGTGGACTAAGATACATAGAATAGTGTGTGGCTTGGAAAGAAGTTAGAGAAGGGTTTTTCTGTCTTCCATTCCTGTCTCCCAAGCTTGGGAGAAAAAAATTCAGTTAAAGAGCATTACTTATGGTGATCTACAAAGCTCTACCACAGAGAAGCCGTATCTCCTAGGAATGCTCTTGATCACAACTGATAGAGTCTCACAAATATTTCCAAGTAGCTTAAGTAAATAGTGGTATTCCTTTATTTGCTTGTCTGTTTTTTTTTTTTTAACTGCCTGTCATACATAGCAAGAAGTCTGAGGGCAGCCTGTTCACAGCTAGTATAGCAGCCCTGAGATCTCATGGAAGGCTGGAGCTCCTTCTTTGTGCATTGGTTTATCATCAAGGCCACAAGATGGCCGGTGCAACTGCTGAAGTCTTACTTCCCTCACAAGAGGAAGAAGGGAAAAGTTGGTAATCTTTTAATCCAGGAAACAGAAGCTTAACTGGAAATTTCTTCCAATCTGTTTGACTTGAGCTTCCTTCTTATTAGCTATCCCTAGCAGCAAGGAAGGCTGGAAGACTGAATGAGAGAGAGAGAGAAAAAAAAGAAATAGACACTGTATTAGTACACGGTGTCTGCTACAGAGGCATATTTTTTGTATACTAAAGCTCTTGCTATACCCAGCTCCTGGGCCTGGGACAGTGTTTTTATCATATGGTTATGAGTTTCTGCAGTGAAACACATGTTATCTTTCATCATTGATGATGGAGCAGCCATTGCAACAAAGTTGCCTAATTATATGCACACCTCAATTTCAAGAAAGCAAACATCTCCTGTTGCTGAGCTCTTCTAGGTTGTTTTTTCTTTTGTGAACAATTGTGTCATTAACAGAGACTTTCCTACCTCAAACATTGCAACACTCTTTAAAAATCTACCCAAATCCTAACCCATTCATTGAAACAAACCAAAGTACCAAGCATATTTGAGGATGTGAGATTTTCTGTGGTCCTTTTAATTTCATAATATATGAAATTACTAGCTCCCATTTGCTTAGAAATGGGGCTTCCAGGAAAGGACTTATATGAGAGACCCACATTTTTCACACAGAGGGAAAATAATGCCTGCATGAAGGTTATTTTAGGGGGAGTCACTTCTATTCTTAATTGCAAATTGTGTCATCTTGCCTACTTCCTTAATATAATCCAAAGTGCAGCTGATCTGCACTTACCCGCGGATCAACATCATATTGAGGCTCCTCTGCTAATGATGGTCTTGGATGGGGAAAGGCACAGTTCTTCAATGCTTGATCATGCTTTTTTCCCCTTTTCTTCTACTTTTTTCAGGCCAACCCTTTAAGCTAGATCCCAAAATGACTCACAAGAAGTTGAAGATATCCAACGATGGATTGCAGATGGAAAAGGATGAAAGCTCTCTGAAGAAAAGCCATACCCCAGAGAGATTTAGTGGAACAGGGTGTTATGGGGCAGCAGGAAATATATTCATTGACAGTGGCTGCCACTACTGGGAGGTGGTCATGGGTTCTTCAACATGGTGAGTGGATCTTTTCTTCTCTCATCTTCTCTGCTGTTAGGTTCCTAGGAGATTCAATTCTACAGGACAGCTAAAGGACCAAAAAGTCAAGGATAAGAGTTAGACATTAAGAACAAGTCCTAGAAAACTTGGCCAGCTTTTAAAAAATAAAATCATGGGAAATATAGTGGGCTAGGAGATAAGAAGTGTTGTATCATTCTAATTGCTGGCTTTACAAGCTCTTGTGATATTATCATTATATATGTAAATGTAAACTTGTAAAGGAAGAAGCACATAGTGAGTCACTCTTAGGTCCTAAATAACATCTAACAGAATTCATATCATTCATAAATTCTTTTCTGTCTTCTCCACTGTCTCAGGTATGCAATTGGTATTGCCTACAAATCAGCTCCAAAGAATGAGTGGATTGGCAAGAATGCCTCTTCCTGGGTCTTCTCTCGATGCAATAGTAACTTCGTGGTGAGACATAACAACAAGGAAATGCTGGTGGATGTGCCCCCCCAGTTGAAGCGTCTAGGTGTCCTCTTAGATTATGACAACAACATGCTGTCTTTCTATGATCCAGCTAACTCTCTCCATCTCCATACTTTTGATGTGACCTTCATTCTTCCAGTTTGTCCAACATTCACAATCTGGAATAAATCCCTAATGATCCTGTCTGGCTTGCCTGCCCCAGATTTTATTGATTATCCTGAGAGGCAGGAATGCAACTGCAGGCCTCAAGAATCCCCCTATGTGTCTGGGATGAAAGCTTGCCATTAAGTGTCAAGAGGGCATGTGATTCACTGGCTCTCCAGTTCAGCACTTCTTCCCTTCTTAAGCCTCCATTAGTGTTTCATATATGAGATACAAAATAAAGTTCATTGGGAGCACCCAAAATAACTAGATAGTGTAGACTTAATTTTTGTGCATTAAATCTTATGTTTGAATTCATGTATTGAGTTACTCAGAACAAATTATCTGAATAGTCTGGGTTTATGCCATTGGGGAAGAATTTTAGAGAATATCTCTGTCATCATTGGAGAATTAAAAATTCCCAATGATTTGGGAGTATAAATGACACTGGAAGGAATTAGCCTTTCTAGCAGTGGCTTGTTTGACCAGGTAAAATTTGCACAGTGTCAGATTATCACATATTTTATGTCACTTTTTAATAAACTAATAATCAAGGTGTTATGAGAATATCATACCTGTGTATATATAATATATAAAATGACTGAATTCATTTTATGAGCAAAATGACAGAGATCATTTTATCTATTACATATATACAATGAACCTTAATTTGTTCATATAAATGAGAAATATATTGAAAAGGAAAATAAATTATACTGTCCATTCTTATTCCCTAGATGACACATCACAGTGGACTGGCATTTTTCTCTTCTTCCCTTTTAGCCTTCTTTCCCCCTCTTGTCACACATACAAACACATGCAATCATCCAGACACAGGAAGTGAGAGAGGAGCTCTTGGTTAGATTAGCAGAGATGTGTGGACAAGATTGCATAAGAGATGCTAATGCTACATTGAAAATTGATTCTGGTAGAAGTGTGCTGTGTAGCATAATTTCGTTGATATTATTTAATAGAGGAGATTTATTTGAATTATTAAAAATTGCCATAGAATATTTCAAAGAAATATAGTTTTGTTACTCTCAAATACATAGTTACTAGACTTAAGCTGGAAAATAGAGTTGCATAAGGGAGTTTCTTCAGAACTCACCTTATTCGATCAGTAAGAATAGTGTTACAGGTTCAACAACTATATGAATACAAATGTACTTGTATTTTCAGATGAAGCACTCCTGAAACACTATTTGCCTCGATAGGATCCATACTCATTCTTTTGTGATTTTGTTTACATTATTCATTCACTTCATGACAAATAACATAAATCCCATCCTACTTTTCATCCGACTAGTTAAAGGAAATTGAGCTTCATGGTCTGTTATTTTACCAGTAATTTTGCAGAGATTGGAAACGCCAGAGAAATAGAGCCTTCTCCCAGGAGCAAAGTCCACTCTTGGTACTTGTAAAATGATTACCCCTGTGTAATTGTAATGTGACAGTAGTAGCCATTACCTGGATTATATGTAGACTTGATGCAGTGTCAAATGTTTCCCTCTCGTTCTACCAGCGTGGTGGATTCTTATTTATTAATTTGTTCAGTGAACTCTTAGATGCCACACTACTGCTGCAAGAGTGCACATATTACTAAAATACAGTCCTTGCTGTCAAATGACTCACTCTTATGTACAAGAGACAACATATCTCTGTAAATCCAACTTTTTTTTTTTTTTTTTTTTTTTTTGGTTTTTCGAGACAGGGTTT